CCTCTCCTACCCCAGCTGCCCCCCCACCAAGATGAGCACCAACCTATGGGGTTTGGGTGGTGGAGGAAAGTCTGCGTGCAGCTTCCATCAGAGGCTGACTATGCTCTCACTCCTTTGTGCGCCCTTGCTCAGAGTAAGTATCTCCTGCAAAAGTCCCTGGGCCACGCATTGGCCTCCTTGTCTCAGTGCCCGCCTGAACTGCCCTGTCTGGGTGAAGCTCTCAGATAAACAGCTCTCATTTTCACCGTGCTCATCTCTCCACCTGGGTTGTTGTATCTCCACCTGAGCTGCTACAGCAGGCTGGTGAGCTGGGGCACCCCGAAAAAGAGGATGCAGCCCTGGCTGCGTGGCTCCATTGCCACTGTCTCACTAAAATGGGGCTTTTTATAAGTCAAAGAACAGCTCATGTAGCTGCTGCTGTGAAGCTGGTGCTGGGCATGGTCCATGGTTCACGCTAGTACTGTATCTCATGGTGCGCAAAGGGAAAAAGCTTTTGCTATCAGCTAGAGATACCAGTCTGCCCTGGTGGACCCTGTTTTATCTTTGATACCGATCTCCACAGTCTCTGTGCATCACCTTCCCCAGGAGTGGTGGTGCAGCACAGGGCAGCTGTGCGCACAAGAGGCAGAGGAAGGGCTGTCTTCTTGAGATGAAAAGTGATGTCTGATCTCTCAAATGTGGTAATTGTACTGTAACCTGGATTAATCTGACCCTCTGATGCATATAATAGGACAGCAAATTTTGCTGAGCAGTGTTTCATGAGCAGGCTCACCAAGGGATGCTTATCTGGAGCATGAGCTTCCCTCATGCCAAATAAGGATCTGAGATGTGTATTTGAGAGAAGGACCCTTTCAAAAACATTTGCTTAAGCTGGGAGCTTCTAGGGCTTGTTCAGTCACTGTAGACCGGCCCAAGTCATTAAAGGAAGAAAACAAAAGCCAGGTGTATTTTATTGCTTGTCAGTTTCCCCAAAGCTATTTTGACACACAGGACGAACATTCACTAGGAACTTTTTAATGCTCTAATTAGCTGCACGTGAGTAATAAGGGCTCTCATGGTAAATATTAACATAGATGAGTACGTAAGGGCTCTCGGGCCTTGTCAGTGTGGTCACATCTCTCTCTTTTGGCTGCCACAGCCTGGAGCAGGAATCGACAGTTCTTAATGCTTAGCAGCCTTTGGTGCTGTTCAGCTGTATGGACTGAGTGCATTGCTGTGCTTGGGTTATGAATGTTATTGGAAATGTAAAGGGATAGCCTTAAGGAATTGTTCCCAGAAGAGACAGTTAAAGGTGGCTGTGGGCTTTTTGCATATACCACAGAAATTTGGATAGAGGGAAGGAAAGGATTTTTTATTTAAAGATGAAACTCAATCAGCAGTAGGTGAGTGCACTACCCAAATTGCTTCCTCAGGTAATTAGTGGGAAATAGTGAAGCAAGAGCCCACCCAAGCCTAAGAGTCAAAACTGTAGTCACAGTGTCCAAATGCTTCTTGAATTCACACAGGCTTGGTGCTGTGACACTTCCCTGGGGAGCCTGTTCCAGTGCCAAACCCCTTTTATAAAGGGTAAAAAACCTTTTCTTAATACCTAACTTCAACCTCCCCGACTCAACTTCATGCCATTTCCTCTAGTCCTGTCACTGGTCACAAGAGTGAAAAAAGATCAGTATCTGCCCTTCCACTTCCCCTCATGAGGAAGTTGCAGACTGCAATGAGGTCTCCCCTCAGTCTCCTCTTTTTCAGGCTGAACAGACCAAGTGACCTCAGCCACTCCTCACACGGCTTCACCTCCAAACTCTTCATCGTCCTTGTTGCCCTCCTTTGGACACTCTAACAACTTAATGTCTTTCTTATATTGCAGTGCCCAAAACTGCACACAGTATTCAAGGTGAGGCCACATCAGTGCAGAGCAGAGCAGGACAATCCCCTCCCTTGACCGGCTGGTGATGCTTTGCCTGATGACCCCCAAGACACGGTTGTCCATCCCAGCTTCGAGGGCACTACTGACTCATATTCAGCTTGCCATTGAACAGGACTCCCAGGTCCCTTTCTGCAGCACTGCTCTCCAGCCTCTCGTTCCCTGGTCTATACACACAGCCAGGGTTGCCCTATCCCAGGTACACAATCCAGCACTTGCCTTTGTTAAACTTCCTGTGGTTGGTGATTGCATATCTCTCTAATTTGTCGAGGCTTCTCTACAGGGCCTCTCTGCCCTCAAGGGAGTCAACAGCTTCTCCCAATTTAGCATCATATGCAAACTTAGTATGCCATAGAATCCTACGTCCAAGTTGTTAATGAAGATGTTGAAGAGAACTGGGCCTAAGATGGAGCCCCGGAGAACCCCATTAGTGACTGGGCATGGTGGAATTCACACCTTATTTCCCTCCTGCTTCAGGCTCCATCGCCCTCAGAATAACCCCAGCTCCCCTCACCTCCTAGCAGATGTGCTGCCTTCTCTGTATCAGTGCTTCTGTGACCTAGATTGAGGGAAGGCAGTTTGAGTCCCCTCTTAACTTCTTTGCCAGCTGGCTGCTGCTTTCCAAGGCTCTCATGGGAGCACAAGGCTGTGATTCAGCTCCCCCACTTTAGCACTGTGCAGCAGAGTTGTGCCTGCCTGAGTGCAATCCCCCTGACTCCAAGCAAACAATTGGCCCCAGAGGAGGCAGCTGCACCCCAGACTCCCCAAACAGGCGGAAGCTAGAATAATATACAGCTCTCTAGTTCCCATTTCTTCATAGTTATATGGCAAATGCTGGAGCAAAAATACTGCTGCAAATACTTTGTGCAATCCTCTGAACGTCTTTATTAATGATCAGGTTGTAGAGTCTCACTCCTTGGAGATACTCAAAAGCTGTCTGGATATGGTCATGGACAACCAGCTCTCAGTGGCCCTGCTTGAGCAGGAGGTTGGACAAAATGATCTCCAGAGGTCCCCTACAACCTCAGCCACTGCATGACTGTGGTTTAGGGCACTGCCTTAGTCCCCCACCTGCTAATTTACTGACACTCATGAACTTGCATGTTACCAGAGGAAGCATGAAACTGCTCCCCCCAGGGAGCTGTAGTGGCTTTGTGTCAGCATGATGCCTCCAGTACACCTGTATCTTACGTTCCCTAATTATATGGCCAGATGAATTTACTGACCCTTCCCTGAGCCAGGCCATCATTTCCTTTTTCAGCAGTGTTGTTTTTGCCTACCCAATGCATTACTTAAGCTCTGAGGTAGTTATTGCCTGCACAAACAGCACCAGCAGCACTTAGTGGATGTTGAACATTTGAGTCTGGCACCCCTAAGCTTTGGGATATGGCTCCATCTGCCTCCAGCCCCCCATTCCTGATCCTCCCAACAAGTTGCACTTCAGAGCAGAATGACCACGAGGCACTGGGTTTTAAAGGAGCTAATGTTGGTTAGTGGGGGCTGCTTGGCCCCACAGAGATACCAGCAGATACCCTTTTGCTGCAGTCTTAGTCTTTTCCCAACAAGAAGCAAGAAATTCTCAGTGTAATGCTTTAGAATAGAAGTCATCAAAAAGGTCTCTAGGGATGTAAAAGGGTAATTTACACCATGTGTTTATTTAAAAATTAGTCAAGTAAATTTGATGTTGTAAAATATACAAACTTGAAGAAATAAACATACAAACAGAGGCAGGAAATCTGGGTGGCCACACTTGCAATGGGGGGAACCACTGTAAAACTGCCCCTATTCCAGAGCCTTCTCATCATGCCCTGATGATACCACACACTTCCTTACTCCTGCAGATGCCCTGCCTACAGATCACCCCATGCACTCTTCTGATACCAGACCTGTGATTTTTCTCTCCCGAGTCACTTGCTGTGCACTAGTACACAGCTGACACTGCGGCACACCCAAAATCATCTTGGCCTCCTCCCAGTCTTCTTCTCCCTGAGAGTTTTGCATGTGTATGTTGTTCCTCATCCACAGTTACACATCGCTGCTCTCCCTGCTGTGCCTCTCCCAGGACCTCCCTCCTCTTCACAGCCTTTCCCTCCCCATTGCCGCCTCTGTCAGGATTAGAGAGCCCTTAACAGAAAATGCTTTGCCGTGCTCTATCACATGGAAAAGTGGCCACTGAGTCCTGGTCACAGGGTAAAGAAATCTCCTTGGGTTTACACCCACTACATCAATGGGGCTGCAGATCTTAGGGCCCAGCTCCCCAGCTTGTATTAAACCCATAGGGACTGATGGGTCCCAAATAGCATGCTTCTCTTTCATCACGGACACGTTGCAAAGTAGAGATACTTGGGGCAGTTTTGCCTGCAGAAACATGATGTGAGGGGACATGGGTGAGTTTTTAATGTGGGGCTGTTCTCCCAGGTCCTCCCAGGCTGATAGGGGCTGTTTGCAGTGCTGAGCGGTGCCAGCCATGCACCCTGCTCTCTTCCAGCATCACGGATAACACTGCTGGGAAGCAGTCAGTCCTGCAACCAGCACACACTCAACTGCTTGGCCACAGTACACAGCTGTTTGAGGTGTGTCAAACTCCTGTCAAACAGCACAGGAGAGGCAGGGGGGAATGTTGTTTGTGCTGGCTACAATAAACACTGGTTTTACATCTCCCAGACAGAGTCAGCTATCCCCTTGGGGTGCTTGAAATGCTGGAATTCACCAGCTGTTTTCTTTGGACACTGGTGTGTTGTATCTGGACAGAAACTGAGTTGTGCTGTTGGACCAGGCTCATCCACCAGTCTGCTGTGCCAAGAAAACTCTGCCCACTACTAGGACATCTGTCTGCTTTATAAACAGCAGGTCTGTTTGCTCTGGTCTGAGGCCCTCTGGAAGAGAGAAGGAAGGTGCTCAGCCAAGGTCACGGGGAGAGCTGGGGGAGGGCAACTTCCCAGGCTCCAACCTGATGGCTTCATCTCTGTCTCTTCCTTCTGCAGGTCCCCACTGGCTTTGAGCAGGGGAATAGAAAACACAGCATAAAATCCCAGCTCCTGAGGCAAGTGACAGGCCTCAAGCAAGGAGCTGTCAGAGAGAGAGTACTCTGAATAATGTATGCTGTGCACAGTGCCCATGAGGTACTAAACACATGATGGCTGCACACAGGACCTGGGGCTGCTTTCACAGAGACTCAGCTGCGGAGCAGTTCCTGGGAGCAGCCAGCAGCTTTGAACCCTTCCGGGATGTCGCTGTCCAGTTTAGAAATGATTTTGTAAATAGGTTTCTTCCAGGAGGGGTCGGCATCCTTGCCCGCCCTGACAGCACTGAAGAACTCCTGCAGCGTCAGACTGGCCACCTCCAGGAACCGCCCTGGCACCTGCAGCAAGATGGGCATCAGCCCATGGCACCACCATGTTCCTGGCTCCTCCTTACCCCTGCAAACCCCACCATCCCTATCCCCCAGCTCCCCCTCCTCACCTCAAAGTCGTTCCCCTTGTTATAGTGCATGTTAAGGGCACGGAAAAGCTCTGAGTCGCGGGAGACCTGGAGGGTGCAAGCATCCGCAACACCCTCTAGCAGGGCCTGTCGGGCAAACTTCTCCACCTGGATGTAGTAAAACTCACGGAAGTTGCTGAACCACTTGATGAGCTGGGAGGTAATGCAGCGGCTGAACTGCCAGGGAGAGAAGGAGGATGAGTTATGTCAGCTTGGAGCCTTCCTACGCATGAGCCCCCACAAACCCCGCTACACAATTCTGGCCTGGCCCAAACCCAGCCTTGCCTCAGGCCTGCCAAAACACCAGCTGGGACAATGACACAGGGGTGTCCACAGTGCTCTCCCTGCTGAGATTTGGATCTCAGCTGCCCTGAAGTGGGAAGACACATTCATGATATACTTTAATCCCAACACCTCAATTGAACAGAGTGAAGACTTGGCAACCCAGTTCTGCCACAGCCCTGAGCACCTGCTCCAGGGCAGCCCATGCTGAAATGGGTGCTGTCCCCTGGCTCCTGCCAGCAAGGCAGGGAAACACAAGAGTAGCCCCTTCCTCATGGTTGCCCAGTGAGGCAGGCTAAGTGCCACACTGCATGGGGGCATCAGCCCAGGGTACTGCCATTTTACCTGCACATCAAGGAAGTAGGTCTTCAGCAGAGTGGAGCTGGGGTAGCGAGTGAAGAAAAACATCAGCTTGGCCTTCTTCAGGTGGCCAGGGGTCAGCGCCTCCTGCATCTGCCTTGGGGTCAAGGAAAACCTGCACGCAGCAGCCCCCCAGCTCAGCGTGTCCCTGAGCACCAGCCCTGACACACACATACCCAGTGCCCATGACAACTCCTCCCCACAACCTGGCAGCAGGGCACAGGGGGTTCATTTCTGGCTGAGCAGCCACTGGATTTCTCCTTCAACATCCCTGAAGAAGCTAATGGTCCCCTGGCACTGTACAGGCTAATGGGAACAGGGATTTTCATGAGACACCTGTTCATAGCATAGGATTACAGGACCACTAGTATGGCCTAAGAACAGGCTTGGGAGCTCCTGACCCACAGCTATGCTACAGCATCTAACCAACCTTGAGGACCAGCAGTGCCCCGGAATGGCTTAGGACCTCCTTCTTGCTCACACCCTTTTAGCCCCCTGTGGAGCAGCAGGGATCCTGGCCTTGCACAGACCGGCAGGGGCTGTGCCAAGCTGTGGCTCCAAAGGACAAGGGGACCACATTCTCCAGGGACCTCTCTAGCTGCCCCTAAAGGATATCTGAGTCGAGGCAAAGGGTGCTCCATCCATCGCAGCTGGCAGGTCGCTGTGGCCATCCCTGCCAGCCGGCAGCAGTGCCAGACTCTCCATGTTGGCAGGGCTCAGGGGCAGGGGATGGTGCTGCTGCTGTCTCACAACCGATGACCTCAGTTTGACGGTTCCCCAGTGTAAGCTGAGGGGCTCTGGAGGACACCTCTCCAGAGCAGATGGGCTCCCACGAGAGTCGGTGCCCCAGAGGCTGTGCTGGCCATAGTCCAACAGCTGGCTCAACAGCTGGCTGTCCTGGACAGGGGTGACCGGGCCCAGTGAATAACCCATGCTGGGTATCTGAGAGGATTTTCTGATGCCCTTTGAACTGAAGGAGCCAGCATGAGAGCCCGGGCTCTTCTCCAAAGTTCCTGGCAGGACTTTAGCCTGAGCTGAGCCCAGTGAGCCCGGTGCATTCATGGGAGATGGCTTAGCAAGTGGCTTTCTGCATTTCCCACCAGTAAAATACTCTCTCCTGGCATCTGGCCTCAGCACCAGGCAGCTGTTGTGCTGCTGCTGGAGGTGGCTGGCTGCCTTCGGCCAGACAGTCTTCAGGACAGAGTCTACCACCTGGGACGTTACCCCGGCCAGCTCATGCTTCAGTGCCTGCGAGAGGACCCTCACTGCCATGGGCAGGCCACCTGCATCACATTTGTCCTCGTCCTCCTCCAGCCCACACACCTCCAGGATGCTCCTCCAGAGAGGTGCTTTGCAGGGGTTGCTGGTGACAGTGGCACTGTCCTTATCCAGTCTGTCTCTAGGCCTTTCAGGAAGCGGCTGCACTTTCTCGGAATCTTCCTGGGTTTGAGCAGCATCCGCAGAGTCATAGACCTGGTAGAACTTTTCCTGAAGCCGCCTCAGCTGCTGCTCTAAAAAGCAGAGCTGCTCCTTCAGCTGCTGGCAGCCCTTGGCATGGGAGCTGCCACCCATGGGGGCCACTCGTCCAGCCACCCCCAGGCCCTGCTGGGGCACCCTCGGCTTCCTCTTGTTTTCCGGGGGTATCTCACTACCTCTCTCCCTCTCATGCCTAAAAGCTGCCTCCAGGCTAGTGTCAAATGCCTGAGGGGTTGGTGGGAGGCTTATGCCTTGGATGATGCTCTCCACCCTGGCCCTCTTGGCTCGTAGGTGCTGGTTGGAGAGCTGGTCCCCATCACCAGCACAGGGCATGGGAGCCGAGGCACGGGTCCTGGGGAAAGCCAGGGCTTGTGCTCCTTCTCCAGGAGATGCACCACACTTGTCCTGAGGCAGGGAAACTGCCTGAGAGGAAGGGAAAAGGATGGTGGAATCCAGGCTCCTGCCAAACATCGGGTGGCTGAGGAACTGTGATATGAGGGATGCATTGGAGGAAGGCAAGAGAGAGTCAGTCTGGAAATAGGGCTCCGAATTCAGCCCCTGGCCATGCCCTGAACTGGCATGGCCTCTGTCCTGCTCAAAGCCAGTCCTGCCATCCATTTTGTCTTCTTCCTGCCTGGAAACTGGAGAGCTGACCTTCAGCTGGTTGGGGATCATTTTCAGCGTCAGACTAGCAGGCTTCCCAGGTGTTAGATGTTTCAGCCTGCTAGCAGTGTGGAACTGGAGAAAGAGCAAGAAACAGGACCTCGTACAGCAGTTCTCCATGCACACGGCCAGATATTTTTCCTCACAGATTTCTGTGGCATCACTGCTCCCCTGCAGAAATTATTTCACCAGGGAATGACCCAGGCAGAAACCTCCAGGCACTGCAAAACCTATGAGCAGGCTGTTGGATGTCACACCACAGCAGCAATGCCCTGGGCACTGCCACAGCTCCCACCTACCAGCCAGGCATTCGTTGTGCCCAGAGTACGTTTTACCTGGTTTGGGCCCCAGATGTGCCTGGCAACACACCGCCAGCTGCATCCACACCAGAGGCATTTGAGGAAACTCCCTTCTGGGCTTGTGGTCTCAGGTACAAGGGAGGTGAGCACCCTCTGCCACATATGCCTGGGCAAAGGTGGTTTTGGGTGCTCCTGGGTGCTGACAGAGCACAGAACAGCAGCTGCATCCCTGGTGAAGGCATTCACGCCAGGGCATGGTTGCTGCTGGCTTCTGCCAGCCCCTAGCACCCACCAGCAGAGCCACCAGGGCATGGGGATGGGTGGCAGCACTGGGGGGCTGGGCCAGCTCAAACAGGCTGGTGGAAAGGGGCACAGCGAGGGTAAAAGTGTGATGTGATCTGCTGCGAGCGGGACCCACTGAGATGTTCAGGCTAACACAGCACAGGGTTCCTAAGTGCTTGGCAAAACAATGAATAAAAGGAATGGGGATAGGGATTATCAAGGAAGAGAAAAACTACTGAGCCAGCAGCCCTGGGCTTAATATAGTCATGCTGACTCCACTCAGGGATCCACCCCCTCCACTCATTCCCTCGCTCAGGCAGTTTTTCAAAAGAAGGTGTAAAAGCTCGTATCCTGGGCAATTACACAGTAACTGTTCCTCTGGGATACTTCTTTCTCATCCACATTAATTAGCAGTAGCTTTGCACCACTGAATTAGGACAGCTTGTGTGTTTTCCAGACATCTTTAAAGTCTGAGATTCTTTTGCTATACCCAGAAATGTCTGATCATTTTCAACACCATCAGTCTCTTGTCCCCATGACTGTCTGCTCCACGGCGAGTCCTCCAGGCAGTGTAGAAAATGGATTTCTTCTCACCGTTTTTTAGCAGGTTGCCTTTCTTCAAACAGCCCTGTATTCCAGGCAGGTGTCTAGGAGAGCTCTTCCTTTTTTGGACCTCTAGTCTTTACAAACCAAGTCTTTTCTGGGTTATCTGACACCACTTGTTGCTGTCCTGTGTTGTCTACCCACCCCTCTTGACCAGTAGGATTTCATTTTCCTAACAGTCTGTTGTGGGGGCTTTCAAACTGCTCAGTTTATCAATGGCCGGTGCAAGGCCAGGCTGCCGGCAGCTCTCAGCATCACACCTGGCCCTGGTGTAACAAGCTTCACCATTGCCTGCAGTTGCCACTTAGCATGCCAGCTGCATCCAGGAAAGTCACACAGCAAACACATTGCAGCCATAGGCTCCATCCCCCCTTAAGCCTTTCTGCAAAGGCATGGGCACAAGACAGCCAGTCCTGCTACCTCACTTGTTTTGTGACAGAAACACCTTTTGGCACTTGCTCACAATTCCTCACCTCTAGTGTGTTCAACAGCAGGGTCAGGGAGCTTACCTGTCCCCTGTGCTGAGGCTTCCCAGCCGCAGGAACCCGGGGCAATACACCCCTTGTAAGCAGATCAACTTAGAGCTAGCAAGGAGCCCTCCACTTGCTTAAGGTTTCCAGCACCACCATCTTTCTGCTGGAGATTTGGAGGGAGGGAGGGAGCAGAGCCTGCGGTCCCAGCTTGTGGCAGCTCGCTGTGGGTGGCCTCATTTCCCCCTCACAGCCTCACCAGCACCGCAGGGACCAAGAGGTGCTGCCCCAAGCAAACTGCTCCTGCTGATGCAGCCCTTTCCCGGTCAACTTAGCAGATGCGTGCTTCGGTTCCTACTCTTACTACCAGCCTTCACCACTGCCACCTTCTGGAACACTACAAAGCGGCCGAGGCTCCTCTTACCTGAAGAAAAAGACTGAGGAACGAAGTGAAGATGCTTAGAAGAGAAGGCAAGTGTACCCTCTCCAAGACTGGAGCCAACCCACATGGGCTCCCCAGGTGCTCCTCAGTGAGACAGCCGTGCCACCCCTCCAGCACTGCAAATGCCCCCAGAGCCTTCCCCAGCCGCCACATCCCCCTGTCTTCAGCCGGCAGTCCCCAACCCTTGCAGCTCACACCTCTCCGCCCCACTCACCTCGGCTCCAGGGGCACGGGGAGCAGTGTCCCGCAGTGTCCTGCAGTGTCCCGCAGGCAGGGGCCGTGGGATGCTGCAGAGCCAGCGCGTCCTCCTGCTGCGCTCAGGTCCTTTAAAGAGGGAGTGGGGAGGCCGGAGGCAGCCAACCAGCTGGGAACGACTTCTGAATATGCAGATGGACATCCAGGAGGTCAGGTCCAGCATCAGGCTCCAGCCACCTTCCCTGCCGCGGCCATTTCCCACACTCATAGCCCCTGGAGTCAGACAGGCAAGGGCTGCTGCTGAACTGCTGGCTGCCCAAGTGGGCAGAGAGCCAGAAGAGCAATTCCTCCGTACAATTTGGCCTGGAAACCCCATCCCGGACCCAGGATGGTGAACCGCTGGTGAGACAGTGCAAATACACCAGACTGACAAGCAATGCCACAGGCAAGGAAGGAGCTGGCCCAGAGCCCAGGTGCTACCCATCTCCCATGGAAAGCGCCCAGGCATTTCCCCCACCATGGGGACACAGATGCGTTTTGGCTGAACTGGAGGTCTGCAGTGTAGGACATGGCCAAGAAATGGGACAACACAGGAAGAGCAGCAATACAGGGTCCGTTGTCACAGGGTGCTTTAGAGACAGTGCCACAGCCTGCAGAGCTGGCATCCCTCCCAGCTGAGCACGCCCTAACACCAGCCCCAGGACAAACTACCTGCCCCAGGGGCACATGTGGTTGTCAGACGCTTAACTTCGTGCAGGAGCTGCAGGTGGGCGGACAAAAGCCGAGCCACATGTGCCACTCCTGGGACTTCATCTGCTTTGCCTTCACATGCTTACTGATCATGGCAATGTTTAGGGTATTCACTGGATAGAGAGGAGGCTGTGGTTAAAAGCAGTTGACATCAGGTGGTCAAAAAACAGATCACAGAGAAATCCCTGGCAGAGAGCCTTTCTGGTTCAGTTGCCTTTTATTAAAGCAGTCAGCACATCCTCAAAGCCTCAGGGACTATCCCCTGTTGATTTTTATTCAACTTCTTTCCTTTGGAAATGATCCCATATTTTGAAGGTTGCGGTTCACCATTCATATATTAAGCAATGGATAAATTAAGGACATGTGCATAACCCAGACTTGGCTCCTTGAGAGATGCCTGGCTGCAAGACAGCCGTTTATAACTATCCCAGGCTAATTCTCAGGTTCTGCAAATAGGTTCATTGGGTTTTCTCCCACCAGTGGTTCCCCGCCTGGAAGCAGGCAGAAAACAGAAACTAGCTGGGGGATTCTCAAATATTTTCAGCATGCAGATCACATCTGAGGAACAGGGCTTACTAGTCGACTCATTTGCCAGTTTGCCACAGGGAGATGACTTCATTGCCCATTTCTAACCATGCAACATCCCAGTGGCTGACGCTCGTGGCAATGTCATTCCACATGAGTCCCACGGTTTGCCATGATGAGCAGGAAAACCACTGGTACAGCTACCCTCCAGCAATCCGAAGCTTTGATTCAATGAAGTGTGTCATGAAACGGCACCCTTTGGTAATACAGAGGATTATTTATCATTACGTATTTATCATATTTATTATTACAAGTACATATATTATGACATGTAGTAATATGTATATACACAAATGTATGTGTTTATAGGTATATATGCAATACATACCTATTATATATGTATATTATCATTACATATCTGGTGATACGTAGGAATATTACAATTACACCCCCGTCCCCACCCTGCCCCGTCCCTGCCCCTCAGCCCTCTTCTCCTTCTGCCCCCCCCCCTCCCGCGATGGTTCCGCCCCTCCGACCGCGCTCCCCCCGTCCTGCGGCGGTTGGTGCGGCCCCGCGCGCTTCCGTGCCGCGCGGGGCCTGGTTCCGGTGTCCGCCCTGCGGCCCCTCCCGCTGCTGCTGCCGCCGCCGCCGCCGCGATGGTGCCGCTCTGGCGGTCCCGCTGTCTCGGCCGCGCGCTGGGCCGCTCGCTGCGCGCCCTGCGACAGGTACGGCCCGCGGGCAGCGCCTCGGGGAGCGGAGCAGCGAGGGAGGGCGGCGGCTGGTCGGGCGAGGTCGGCGGCGCCAAGGACACCGGGACGCGTCCCCTGCTGCCCGGCGCCGCCGCTCCGGGGCACGGCCCGGCGGGGCACGGGGAGGGGCGGCAGGGCTGCCCCTGCAACGGCCGCGGTGGGCGCCACGCTGTCCCTTCTCAGCGGGTGCTTCTGCCCCGACACCGCCCCGCCCGGCCCGGCCAGGCCCGGGCTGGCGGGAAGGGCGGCGGCACCGGGCAGGGCCTCCGATCGCCGCCGCCCTCGCCCGCCGGCGGCTGCAGCGTCTGGGGCCCCCGCTGTTGGCAGCCCCTGGCCTGCGCTGGCACAGACCCCCCGGCGGGGTCCGCCCGGGGCAGGAGCGGCAACGAACCGGTGTCTGGTTTGGTTTATGATTTCTGTGCTCGGCCTTCAGAGCAGCCACTGAACCGTGGCAAACGGCGGTGACCTGCGCTGGCGACACCGCGGGTGGCAGAGCCCGATGGCAGCTTAACCCTGGGGCTGCCCTTGGCCAGCTGGGTCCTGCTGTTCGATGACTCCTGGACACATCTTCCGTTTAAATAGCAAACATGCACAGCCTTTTGTGCACACATGTACGTGCACACCTACAGGAGGAAAAATACCACTTCTCTTCCAGGTGACCAGCTGGAGCCTTAGAGCATGGGACTTGATTTTAGCC